TCGTCACTATACCCGTCACGTTGATAGCGCTGGTCGCGCCAGGAGGGTTCTCGTTATTGTTGTTGTTGTTGTTGTTGTTGGCCACGTCCAACGAGCCGAACGCCTTCTCGTACGCGGACTTGGGGTCCTTGATGAGGCGCGTCTGCGCCTGGTGCGACTGTTCCTGGAGGAGGCAGTGGATTTTGAACCAGTTGGAGCGGCGTCCGTAGCGGGAGCCCGACTTCGACATACCCACCATCAGACACTTCCTCAGCCGGCAAGCCTTGCACGCGGTGCGGTTCTTCTTGTTGATCACGCACACGCCGCCGTTCTTGCACTCGGAGATGCTGCCGAGGTTGTTGTAAGTTCGCCCGAAGAACGACTGTGGAGCAGAGAAACGCGTTCGACGCGTGCTCGTTACATGAATGGGATGATTTGATAGTGAAATCGAAAGAGCGAGACGTTGTGTAAACTGCTCGCATCACGTCAACGTTATTAGAGACAACGGTATTATTACTGCACTTTCGAAATTTCCACGAGAAATTTTTGCGTTCGCGTGCAGCGCGTGCAAAAGGAATTGTCGTGCGAGGGATTGGCAATCGATCGGTTTCGTTACGAAAACGTGAATTTGCGAGCTTTCCACGTGAAACGTGAAACCGTGGCGAGTTGACCGTGGGTCAACACGGTCGGCAGAGTGCCCGGTAATTGTAACGTGAGGATGATGCACGCGTCTGCACGCTTGAGGCTACAATTTTATTTGCATTCGAAGGAGTATATACACACGTAGTGTGTAGACGTGCGTGCGTGTACACAGAGATACTTTGGAGAAGAAAAGAGATAAAGAAAAGGGGCGGGAGGGAGACGAAGGGTAAGATGCGAGAATATAAACGGCCATTGAAATTTTTCCTTCGGTCTGATGATCTAAAGAGAGCAAAGGCTTCGTTCGTGGATACTGACCTTGCAACCTTCGCACGTGAAGGCCCCGAAGTGAAAACCCGCGGCCGGCTCTCCGCAGACCCTGCAGAGCTGATTCATCTGCAACAAAAAGATGCGACATGTGGTTACGCTTCGGCTAAGAAACCGAAGACGCTTAGAATGCGGCGGTGATCATGCTGCAAGCACGCGCAATATGTGCCAATCATGGAAGCGTTTCTTGCTCGTCTCACGACCATCTCCTCCGCCGCGACGTACACGAAGAAGTGAAAGAAGAAGAAGAAGAAGAAGAAGACGTAGAAGAAGAAGAAGGGGAGGAAAGAAGAGAAACGAAAACGAGAATTGATAATGATAATTTCCTGGAAGGCAGGCGAACCAGACACCAAGATAAGAAAACACCAACGATATCCATCGTCGATGTCCACCGATGCTCCCGCTGTTAACGCTTATTTATTTCAACGACGATCGCGGGACATCGTTTAGCGACGTTGGATTAATCATTTCGATGTTTGAGCAACTCCTGGTCGATAGGACAACCCACGACGTTTTCACATCCGACTGTTTCAACCGAGCCTCGTAACAACATCGATTAAAAATCGAAAGCCCGCGTATCGAATGTCGCGTGTAAGTGCATTTGAGAGAAGTTCCCGCGATGATTCGCGCGTGATTTATCGCTCGATCGAGGAAAGGATCGAGTGAATGATGGGATCGATTCGCGGCATGGCGATTCCGTTCGAATCGATCGTAAGAGTTGCATTGGCCGCCAATCTCCCGATCGTAAGAGTTGAAAATCTTTGAGATACGTTTGAGAGAGAGAGAGAGAGAGAGAGAGAGA